TTTTCTTCTAATCATAAGGTTTACAAATGTTTGGTAATAGGAAGGAACAAAGTAATAGTCAGTACTCTTTTTTCTGAGGAAATTTCTGAATTGTTTGCATGTAGAAAACAGTTCAGTTAATAAATTATTAGTGTTTGATGGGTTTGGTAGTTTTGATTTTATGGACTTTGTGAAATTCGTTTTATTGCCCATTAATAAACAATGCAGTTATAAATGTATACAGATTTAAAGCTATCTTTCGTAATTCCAGTGCTCTTCTCATAAGATTTCATCTCACTTTTGTTACCGTGTTTGTTCGTTGTTTTCAAAAAAAGAAATTTTTCTTGTTTTGTTTATTTGTTAACAACAAATAGTCAAGCTTAAAGAAAGGAAAAAAAAAGAAATTTTTGGAATATTTCACAGTTTTTTTGAAGACCAAGACGGGACAGGATTTTCACAAAGATAACGTTAACTTGTTACCCTCTTTCAGAGATGTTAGGCATATTTTCCAGAGCACTTTACTCAAAAAATACAGCAGTTATCAGATCTTTCTGATGTAATTTATTGTAATTCGCGTTTGGGGTTCAGAATTTGTGCGATTAAAGAATGGAAAGTCGAGTTTTGTTGGTTTTTGATTGGCGAAACGGTACAATTTTGGGGAGGGCGGAGAAGTGGGTCGAGAAACAGTACTCTGTCTTTGTTGCAGTTGAAGTAGCAATGTTCTTCCCAAGTTTGGAGAAGCGTAATTTTACGGGCTCAGACTAGTCAACCGCCGTAGCTGTTTTATTTTTTCTTCCCGCATCTTTTGGGGTTAGTATGAGGGTGGAATTTTAAAAGTCTTAGTTATGAAATACGGCGTTGATTTGTTGGACGACCGTGACACATATTGTACTTCTAACGTATCCCAACTGTTTAAAAGACCAAAAATTGTAAGAAGAAAAAATTGTTTGACAAACATTTGCGATGGAAACTTTGCAAACTAAGTTACAGTTGTTAAACGAACGCAAAAGACCGGTAGTTTGGAAAATGAAAAGACCCCGATATGGTTCGGTGGGTTGTAACAAAAGCTGTAAAATGGTGTCTTATCAGTTGGCAACAAGAAGGTTAAATACCAGTGAAAAACAGTACTGCATCGAAAAAGCAGTTAGTATTTAAATCATAAATTACACCAAATTATTAAGATTAAAATTTATGCTACTAAAATGCTTATGATTTAAAGTAGAAAAAAAAAACTGATAAAAGAATTATGCGCCAATTTTTTTTATTGTTCTGTTAACTATTTGGATTTTACTGTGTACACAGTTTTTTGTGTTTCTGCAACTTTTAAAGTGTTTGCAGTTATTTGTCTTGTATATCATGTGATTGACTTATGAAAACTAAAGCTCTTCTTTGAAGCTACTACAAATTAAAGCTTGCAAGGAAAGGAACCTTAAAGTAATAGATGGATGAAGGGATAGAAGAAAAGTAGCCTGAACAAAACTTTAAATGTCGAGTGGTTCGTCTTTTTTTTTT